TGATAATAATTTATTGAGTAGAAAAACCAGTCGCGACTGAGTCTACTAAAAACCCAGATTCTGGCGCTGTCCGACCAAGACATGGGTCGCGACCACCTGGAATTTCATCCTTTTCACTTGGCGCAGCTTGCCCAGGTATGGGTCTTCGCCAATTTCGCCCTGAGCTTGAGTTATTGGCCATTTTTAGATTTTCCGGCAGTGAACTTTTGAGCATCGATCCCGATTACATAACTTGATGAAATTGGGAGAGGTTGGATGCTAATTGAAGAGAAAGAGAAGTGCTTTCGACCGGTTCTAATTTCCAGCGGCTTAGGCGGTCGGAGCTCCCCAGAATNTTCTTGATACCGGGTGATACTTCAGTGACCGGTAGTTCAATTTTGGAACTTCAGTGACCGTTTTTTTATTTTGACGTAACTTCAGTGACCATTTGTGAAATTAACCCATTTATTTTTTGCATTAAAAGTCATCGTGTGTAGTGACATTAGAATTGTGGTTACCGTAAAACGGATAACCATTGCCTTAAAATCTTCGTGAATTTGTTGTCAATTATTTTTCATTGTTAGAATTGCACGTAACCTTAGAAAAGTTTATTTGATCATTCTGTGTGAATTGTGTCTGTACTTTGCTTGTGGTATTCGTTTTGTTGCATTTTTTGGTAAAATGACAACACGTTTTTAGTTGTGCTTTTTTAATGAAAAATGTGACTTTTCAATTTGACAAAATGAAAAGGTTTTTCAATAAATTTTTGATGGCAAATGTAGGTCTAAGGCAAGTGCGAAAAGTATGATGTGTTTTAACTGCGGTAAATTTGGAAATGCTCAAATAGATTGTCCTAGAAATGATAATAAAAGGAAAGATAAGGAGAGAGGTGAGACGAATGTGAACTTAGGGTCGAGTGATGACCTTAGTGGGGTTTATTGAGAGTAAATATATTTACTACATATGAATCCATGTGTAATCCTTTCTGTATGTATGTGATTACCTAATTATGTTGTATGGTTATATGTGCATTTCAATATGTTTGATATGCACATTTGCATGAATTTAAGAGTAATCTGATTATTTGAAATGTGTTTACATGCATAGTGGGTTGAAATTTATAGCGTACTCCTTTTACTCTATGAGTGGTGTGAGAGAGTGTGGTAGTGAGAAGAAATAGGGCAATCATTTTCTCCTTCATCTTTATGAGCTTATGTAGTTTGTGAGATTATGTGAGGCAGCCATATGTGGGATATCTTATTTATCTTTGTGAGCCTCTTATGTAAGTGTACTGAAGTAACCAACTATTTTTTCTATTTTCTTTGTGAGTGCCACCTTTACCCAAATCCTCAATGGATTTTTGAGCATTGGTGTTGGAGTAACTTTTTGGTCTGTGGGTTGATTTATGATGAGCTCTAACCTTTGTGGTCGCCAAAGGTATTGATTTTCCATGGTGGTTTGGTTATGCATTACGAGTGAGGATGTCTATTGGTGATGTGGAGTATAAATGTCTAGGGGTACATTGGTGGTTTGTACAGGAGATGTGGAGTGTGACATTTGGATCACGAGTGGAGAGGTGATTAAATATTGGAATCCTTTATCTGTGAAGAGACCCTCATTAACCACTAAGGTTGGAAGAATTGATGTGGTGATAAAGGATTTTTCCAAGGACTTAGGATCTATAGAGATTTACCCATTAGACATAAGTTGAGTAATCAGTCAAGTGTGTATTGTGGGCAATGAGAAGAGATGGGTGTTCTCGAGGTGTGAGCAACATGGAATGGGATATGATAAGTGTGGTGAGATCATTGTCAATGATTTGTAGTTGTATTTGTTTTAGTTGATTTGAGATGTAACAACGATTTTTCCTCCACCACAAGTGAGGTGCTTATTTAATAAATGCGGAGGTACCGGGTCTTATTTAGTATAAATAAATACAAAAGAGTTGCTTGAAAACAACTTCTAGATTTACACCTAGGGAAAGAAAGTATCTAGTTGAGAGATGTGAATCTCACAAGTGGAACATGAAAGATATGACCAATAAGGGTCGGGTTGTAACCAATTTGAAATTTTTTCCTTCTTTACAACAATTCCCAAGTCTAAGGGATGATTGAAAATGGATATGCACACACACGCCAATCAAGCATTGGATAAGCCTAAATTGTTTTTGGTAACATTATATGGAAGCATATTTGTGATTTGATAATTTTGATTGTACAATTTTCACTAAATTATATGGAAGCATATTTTGGCAAGTTGTCTAACATTGTTGATTTTTATTCAATGATTGCTTGCTAGTCCTAGTCGATAATTTTGCTCAAGACAAGCAAGATCTTAAGTTTGGGAATTTTTTACAAGTGCATTATTACACACTTATTGGAAATGAGCTAAATATTAGTAATTGAGCGAATCTCACACATGTATAAATTACGGCCCTTGTAGGCAAAAACACCTAATTGAAGGGGGGAGAGAGAAGGAGGAGGAGGAGGAGGAGGGGGGGGGGGGGGNAGGAGGAGGAGGAGGAGGAGGGGGGGGGGGGGACTAAAAGTGTACAAAAACATGAAGTTGGGGAAGGTGTAATGATCAGTAAGTCGAGGGACTTTGGATACAATCTATCAAGGGTCTAATTAAGAGAAAAGTGATGATTCGAGGCCAAAATGTACCAAACCAAAGTTGAAGGACCTGACATTCAATATATGGAGGACTTAGCTGCGATATTGGCTGAAAGAGCTCAGCTGCGCATGCCTAGAGCCAAGCAAGGCACATGCAAGCCTGAGCCTTGCCATCAATAGAGAGCAAAATGCTCTCGTGGTACACGTGCCCCAGCTTCCACATGTGTGAAGAAATCTGGTGCCGTTTTTGTTAATTTTCAAATATCTTAGCGGCTTTTGGCAATTTTTCGACGCATGTTTTTAGGGTTTAAAAAGGCAAAAATTGGGCCTTTTACCTCATTCTTCACTTTCTTCATTTCATCTTTATTTCACTTAGAGTTTGAAAGAAAAATGAGGAAGAACTCGGGGGCAAGAAAAATCTAAAGAAAGGTGGAGATGTTTTAAGACAAAATCAATACCAAGCCACTACCCACTTAAATAATCCAATCAAGTGAAGAATTTTACATTTTGTATTGTATTTTACCATTATTCCCTCTAAGAACTTGCAATGTATTTCTCCAAATATTTTCCTTTTTATCATATTACAATGAGGTAAGTTCTTGATGTTGGGATCATTGATCTCGCTTTCCTAGCTTTTCTAATTTCAATACTTTCTTTACATATTTAGGTGCTTATATTCATGCGTATTTACTATTGTATTGCATGATATTTATTTATTTGGCCAATAAATGATTGTATTTAATGATTTGTGTATCATTTAAGAGAATATTCTGCACTTTACAAAATAGTAAATACACTAGGTTCTTGTAGGAAATAGAGCTATAATCCTAACTCTAGATGACTCATTGAGCTATTTCATAAAGATTTAATGTGATTGTTTGAGTTTTAATCGACATGGGGATGTAGTAGGTAAAACCTATCGATCTCGACTGATTTCGCTTGAGAGAGGTAGTTTGCTAAAATCAGAAAATGGGATCTACCATTGTAATTAAGTAATTTATTAGTATGCTTGAATCCTAAATAATTTATCCTCCAAAATTTCCCTAATTTTATGTATGTTTTTTTTTTGTAGAGTTTTTAGTATTTTAATACTTTAAAAACCAAATTTGATTGTGTATTTCATAGTTAGAACTAAATTAACTATTTTGTAATTAAATAAACATTTCTCGTGAGATCTACTCCTCGGACTCATAGTCTACTTTATTACTTGAATACAATCCATGCACTTACAGCACGTAATTTCAGCGAAAAAAAGGTTTACTATTTTCAAAACTAGGCAAGTCCGCACTATAATAAATTCTCGTTCACAATACTTCTCATGGGCATCCTTGTAGTGATATGGTATACGATAATTGGTATTTGCAAAGCCATCTACGGTACAAACCATTGCTTTGAACGAAGGTTCCAAATGAGGATAAGAAAAAATGGTAGGGTCCCTCCTAGTGAGATGGAATAGTTAACGAAATAAATATCGAAATTATGTGCTAGAAGGTTTAATCGTTGCTGCATTAACTATGAAGTTCTACACGTCATACCTGGCATCACTGTTAGAAGACGTACTCACACTATGCAGATTTATCTAAAATGTGGAGAATATGCTCCAGGGAAGAAACAATATTTAGATCAGTTTGTCAAGGAAATATGGTAGAATAAGTCTCCATACCACAAGCCATGGGGATCTTGGATCCGTTCTTTCGAGTCCAAGTAATAAGACAGGTATACAGGTTCTCAAACTATCTTTAAAAGTAAGTAGACAACAGTAATCCACACCAAGACAGTAAAAAACAGCTACATTTGCCAAAACAATTAATCTGACCATCAACATATAACTGTAATAAGAAAATTCGGAGTAAAAGTGACGCCGGGCAGAATAGTGATTATTCTGCAGGCTGGGTTCAATTGACAAAAACAGAGAAGAACGCAAGAGAAACACAAAGAAAAACGAGAAAATTCTTTATTATTCAACAACTGAATGAAAATAACCCACAAGCCGGGTTAAATAGCCAGAAAATAATAATAATCGGAATTTTGCCAAAAATAGCAAAATCCTAATATTCANCTACACGTCGTACCTGGCATCACTCTTAGAAGACGTACTCAAACTATGAAGATTTATCTAAAATGTGGAGAATAAGCTCCAAGGAAGAAACAATATTTAGATCAGATTGTCAAGGAATTACGGTAGAATAAGTCTCCATACCACAAGCCATGGAGATCTTGGATCCGTTCTTTCAAGTCCAAGTAAGAAGACAGGTATACAGGTTCTCAAACTATCTTTAAAAGTAAGTAGACAACAGTAATCTACGCCAAGACAGTAAAAACCAGCTACATTTTCCAAAACAATTAATCTGACCATCAACATATAACTGTAATAAGAAAATTCAGAGTAAAAGTTCATATATGCCTATTTCAAAGAAAGGCTGATTGATCTTCTGGGGCGTCAATCCAAATGCTCTCATGAGGATCTTGTTCTGCCCAATCATAGCACTGGCGGGGATGATATCTACCACTTTCAAGAGAGTAATATACGCATCGTTTTCCATAATATAGAACCTTAGGGAAATAAACATTGTTTTTCATCATTCCATTGAGACCCATCCTTGCTTGGGATGACAAGAAACTTGCAAACAGTGTCGTGCCTTCCCAAGTTTCCATCTCTGTCCATTCTTTATTTGTTTGGTCTAACTTATATACCACTGGGTTTAAAGCAGAACAAATGTATATAACAAAAATATCCCCGTTATGCTCGGCCATAAATCTTCCTTTCCACCATTTTCTGAAGCAAAATCCCTCGGGACATCTGGGTGGAGGAACAGAATGAACATCCCAAGTACTTTCATCGGGGTTATAAACCCCCAACAAACCTGTAATACTCAAACATTAAAAAAGACCAATGCAGAAAACCGTGCTGCACACATATGGCAGACGGTTTTGGTAATCAGCAGTTGTCCATTCAGTTGCTCCAGGATGACAAGTGCTAATGGTAACAAGAGTTGAGCTCACACACTCTACTGTAAAGAGAGTACAGCTAGGAGTCGTCGGAGCGGCCTAAAAAGCAACAATTTGGGATCCCAATTCTCGTCCAAGTAATTTGATCTTTTCTTGCGTATAAGGACAGAAAAAGAACAAGTGATGAGTTCTGGGCTTATACAGAAGCAACCAGCCATCCTTAGCGTAACAAAGCCTAGAGCTGTGGAGATCCGGTAATTCAAGCCAATAATGTAGAGATCCGGTAATTCAAGCCAATAAGTTTTGCGCTGACAAGGGTCGTAGAATTCATACAAGTCACCAGATTTTGGGAAAAACATAAGCCAAGGTGGTTTATTGACCTTTCTGACAGCATTCGCAACGGCACGCCATCGTCTACAAACAGCTGAAGCACGGATATTATTTTTAAAGGTTAACTGAGAAATAATCAGTTCCAAAATCACTGCTGGAAACCCAGATATCTCGTCTGGCTGTCCAGTTGAAGCTCTTGTATCTTCTTTGATTATTTCAGCTAGACTAAATTAACAATATTCAGGTAAACTCCAGCAAAATGAAAGTTGAAAAATAGAGGCATTGAAAATTTAAATCAAAGAAACTCGCCTATAATATTGACCTCAAGCAATGCATATGCTTTTGACAAATAGAACTGCCAACAAAAACAATCACAGGTAAAAGCAGAATTGAAATCATCCATGAAAAATAAAAGTTTGCACTTGGGTTATATCAAAGTTGAAGGAATAATTTCCGTCCAAGTATACATACTGATAATATATATACTGACAACACCAACCGAACCGGAATGCCAAATCATACGTGTTTGCATGAAGGCCACAAGCCAGAACTAATCTCTTTTAGATGGTTAACAGATAGAAGTCACAAGGCATCAAATCAATATGCAGTACACAATTTTGCTTCCAAAATTTTTTCTTAGGAATGTTGACCTCAAAATAGAAATAAACAAATTCCTGTGACCTAACCAGGATTTTCACTACCAAACTCATTGAATTCTACTTGAAATAAGAGATGGGAGGGAAATAGCTATTTGAAAGGAGTATATACTCAAGTTTTTAATTCAATTTATTTACCATGCCACTCCTTCTCATTTTTGCTTGTACAGTAAGTTTGCACTCACACACCTCGTGTCATCGTAGTTTGTATTCAAGATCAAACTATTTATATTATGTAGCGAACTTGTAAAGTATATTAATGATTTAAATGCTGTAGCTTTCAAAGCTATTTCCTCATCAATAGTGGCTAATGTGTGGTACTCTGAAGGGAGGCTTCATGATTGTAGTCGTCGTTGTGTGCATCAATGAGACTATTTGCATTTCAAGGTGCATGTATTGTGTTTATTTAGTGCATGTTTGTCTACCATTATTGTGATGAAAATGGTGTAATGAATAGTATTTTTTGGAGAATGTGTGGTTAAAATTGAAAGAAACTTTATCGGATTATGTGTAGAATATTTTATTATTTGAATGTGTGGTGGAGATTGATTAATGTAGAAAACAATGTTTTGAAAAATGGTAGACAAACAGGGGCTTAATGTGCATGATGCACACACTTGATCTGATTTATCCACTTGAAATATGTTGTGTGTCATTTTATATTTAAAGGCTAGAATTAGCTTGCATCTGAGTGGCCACAATCAATGTTAACGGGCTCCAAATCCAATGGCGGAAATCCATTTACAAATTCAATAAATACAATATCGCTGGTTTTGTTATGGTTCTTTACTCTTTCAAAATTCCGTTCTTCGTATTTTTCCTTCCCTTTGCTTAAGATCCTTCTTGGGCCATTGTGTAGCAGATGCTAAAGTATTTTCTAACGACCTTTTTTGCTTCTCCTCATAAAACTTTCCGAATCCTCTACTAGGTATGTGTTTCATGTGTTTTTTACTTCTTTTATGCATATTTTTGTCTTACATGCAGAGTGAACTTTGCCTAAATGGGAAACCTTGCATTACTTTCAACAACGATGGAATGAACCTCGCCCAAATAAATAGACTGGACCACTTCTAAATAGGAATATGGCCATGAAATAGGCGGAGTGAATCTCGCCGAACTAAAGGGACTAATGTGATCAAACTTCCATTTTTTTGCTCGCTTTCTGTCCAAATTGAATTAGATACAGGAGATGCCAAATGATCTTCACAGTCTCAGATACAAAAATAGAGCCTGAAAAACTTCAGTTTAAACGAAGATTTATCCAACATCATCCTCTTTAGGCACTCAAATTAAATTCAAATGAAACATTAATGGTACATTAGAAGGGCGACAATATTTATTTATTTCAAAAGTTTTTGCATTTAAAATTTCCAAGCTTTTGTTTTGGTATATATTAATTTACAGCATGAAATCTCATCAGACTAAAACCAAAATTAAAAAATTACCCAAACCTGACTCGATTATGAAATGAGATGTTCAGTTTTTCAGGAAAATTAAAAAACATTCATACATAAACAAGTGAATTGAACAATTGGAGAAAAAATTGGAAGACTTACAGCTTAAATTTATTTCTTCTCGTTCCAGCCATAATTATGACAACCCAGAATCAATTTTATGGAAGAAACTCAATCTTTCATTGCGTAAGGGTGTGTACCAGAACCGCTGTAGTATTTTTAAGGTTTGATGAATTCTATGCAAATGGGTTCATTTTCCTCTCAGAAAAGGCACCAACAAGTAATTGACTCACTGGTCGACAGATGTATTTTCTACTTTCTCTTTCTTTTAAAATAAATTACAGAAATGTCCCATGAAATTATTAGAAATCTAGATGGGAATATCTTCTATAAGGTTTTCTGAATGAGTACAGCAATTATTTAATATTTCTGGTAGGGTAAAATCAATTCAACCTATGAATATTAACACCGAAAGAATTGACCTAGGCATTAGTAAAGAGAGCACTCTTCATAAGAATTTTTCAAGTACCGCTAAAAAAAATTGCTTGAATACTGCTAATTGTGGTAACGCTATCTATGACCTATTTATGGCATGTAATTATAGATGTTAAGATATCTCGAAACCCTACAATATAACCAAGATGTGTTGTCCCCGTGATAATCATATTAGGGCAGGTTATTTCTCGCGCCATTAAGTGATTGATTGAATAAGGTTAAAGGTAATGTGTATTCTATATTCTCTCCGCAAATATAGGAAACAACTTAGACACGTGTCATTTTCGTCATAACAAAATCTATGAGACGTTAGTATGGAGAAAGTCCATAATTAGCAACTTAACTTAGTAAGGATATATTAGACACACAATTCATAATTTTTTTGGATGGTGCAATTTAATTCAATGGTACTAATTCTTACACCAAAGCAAAAATCGATATGAAGTTCCAACCCAGTTTTAAGTTACTACCCTATCTAGAAAATCAGTTCCAGCCAACATGGAAAATGATGTCAAGTTGCAAAGAAGTTCGTTGGAGTTGCTTGTGCTCATATCAACTGGTTCAATCTTGTTTGAAGTGACTAGAGAGGGTAAATGGTTATATCACTTTATGCAATTTCTCATAAGTATGGTTGTAAAAAGTAAGATGATCGATGTTGATGAGGTTGTGATTGTATAATCAAATATTGCGGTGATTTTGGTCGTTTACAATTACCACTTTTTTTAGAGAGAGGGGGGGGGGGGTAAAGAGGGAATAATGTTTAAATTCTTTAGTGGAGATGCTCGAATGGATAAAAATAAGGCACTTACAGACGTGTTAAGAGGTATGACTGACATGTCGATTAGTTTTGGAGGTTGAAATTAAAGGAACAACGGTGTTCCTGTTAAGAATTTACTTAACATACATAGAGGAAAATAAATAATTTTTTAAATTCCCACCAAAGATCTGCTTTGTGCTTAGATACAAACTGTGATAGAAATTATACCTTCGAGAAATTCTGCAGCCTCATTTGCTGATCTTGGAACACAAATAATCACGATCTGCAATCCACCCAATTGTGCAGCCTCCAATGAAAATCCACACAGGAAACAAAAATGAGAGGAAATTAGAGTTTCTCTTTCTTGTGCTAGCAAGATAATGAATTATTTTCTGTTCTAATTTTTTGAAACCATAATGGCTTATTAATATAACTCAAAATGGACTTGGCTCATCTCTTAAACTTAACCCGGACTAATATTCAATTAATCAAATTTGGTCCATTAATTAATTAATCTAATTAATTAATTCTGGCATATTAACGAGCAACCCAATTAATTAATTGCACAAAACTTGTTAATTAATCAGTTGGAATCTCATTCTTCAGATTCTCATTTTGCGTGTAACCCATATGTTTTCGATCATGACGTCTAACGACATGAATTATTATTTGGATCTAATCAAAATCGATAAATTAAAATACCCCTTTTAATTTATCACCAAATCACATTCGTCGTCCCGTATTGACATTTAGCAACGTGGGCAATACATGTGACGAGAAATGTCACGTGGTATGATAAAACTAAACTAGTTCCTTCACCGTGAAATTATAATCCTCTCGTCAATATGATCCGATCAATTACGAGATATGGATATGTGTCATATAGTTAATAGCTAGTATAGAAAGTAGGGTGATAATTCAATTACATTCAGCTTTTGAGTAAAAGCTGAATACTCAAGTGGAATCGATTCCTAAAGGAATAGTTGAATTGATTTACTTTACATCTAGTGAATGATAGATTTTCACTGCTTAGGAGATATCATCATTCACAACCTTTATATGATTGTTGACATACTCGAACAATGTCGTATTAACGACCGATAAGAGTGTAAAATATCGTATTTTTTCCCTCTTATTTGTTGTTCTCGTGTGATTATTTGATGCCAAAATGCACTCATTATCTTTATAGTCTGATTTAGGTTGCAATTTATGGACACGACAAAATTTGGAAGAAATAAGTGAAAAATGGCCAAAGTGGAAGAAAACAAAAGTTCGAGGACCAAATTGCAAATATCCAAAAGATGACTCGAAAGGAAAAATGAAGATATGATGAGTTGAGAGTGGTGGGTATCTCATCCAATTGATGCCAAAGGGATGAAATATAGTAAAAGTATTATCACATATCAACTCCCAGCCGAAAAAGTTCTACTTCTAATTTCCAGTCTTAGTTTGAAACCCATTTTTGGCATAGGAAATGTTTGAAGTAGAAAAATTATTTAGAGGATTTGTAGCCCTTTGAGTTATTTTTCCAATGCAACTTGAATCGCTTCAATCAAATATCAGGAGAGAAAGATATGACCAAAATACTGAAGGCTGTCCTGTGAAAGTTATCCAAAGCTTGAGGTTGCATAGTTGAAATTCAATGCGGTCGCATACTCTACTTCGGTGAATTCCAGGGCCAAGTTAAAATGTTCTATGCGATCGCATCCACTTATTCTATGCGGTCGCATAGTGTATTTCCAAGACGAAAATTCTAGTTTCCGAATTTAAGTCAACCACTTATGAAAATAATTATAAATACGCATTTTGAAACCCTAAACACGAGAAAAATTAGAGAGAACTCCTCCATACTACTTTCTCTCATCTTTGGCTCAAGAATTTCTACGAAGAACTAAAAATCTTGGTGAAGTTGGGAAGAAACTTAATCGGAATTTGTGATTTCGTATCTTTTATCCATGTAATTTGATTTTTCATTGTCAAACAATTCTAGGATTTAGATTTTCTTTTCATCAATATTTTGGGATTGGGTTAATTTTTACTAGATTTTTCATGGATTCAATCATGCTTTTTCCATCGAAGAATTAAACTATTTACTGAGTTTCAATTTCAATTTTACTTTATTGGTGGATTGATTACTGCCTTGTGCTTGATGTATATGGTCGATTCTCAATCTTTTTTCAATAGAAATAGTGCAAATGTGTTATAAAAAGTTTAGATTCTACGATCACAAATGAATTAAAGTGATTTGTAACGTTATATCTTCCGATTAGAGAGTTTGGATGAAAGCATATAACTGAGTTATAAAAATGAATAATTGATGAGATTGATCCAATCCAATTGAGGGAATTTCGAGGCTTCACTACCTCAATCATTGATTTTAATTTTATTATTTCAAACATTGAATTCTTAATTTTATTCGAACAATAAATTCTATTTCACAAACGAGAGAATATCTATCATTTTTGTTCCTTTGAGCATTTCTTCCATTTCCCTGTAGAGTCGACACCTAAAAGTTGTGCTGCAACTACCGTGTTATTCTTTAGGCGTAATTAAATTTTGGCGCCGTTGTCGGGGAGACGGCACAGAACACCAAGGGATCAACTCAAAAGGGTGATATCGTTTATTTACTACTCTTCAGTTAATTTAATTTTCTTATTTGTTATTTTTTTTATTCTCATATAGTTTAGTTTTCGTGTTTTATGAGCAAGGATCGAGGCAAGCAAGGAAGCTCTACCGAATGATATTTTTCAGTGTTTGAATCACTTTCTAACCCTATCTTTGATACTAAATTTATTGCCACAAACACCACACTACACACACTGTGACTGATAGTGAACATGGCGATGCGCCTTATAGGACCTTACTAGATTATCTTCACCCTACATGCACGTCCACACCATCATGCATCATGTTTCTCCCTAATATGCCACGTGTGGAACTTAAATCGAGAATGATTCAACTTTTTCCCAGTTTTCATGGACTTGAAAATGAAAATCCATACGTGCATATTAGGGAATTTGAGGAGGTGGTCGCAACTTTCCACAATCAACATGGTACAACGGACGTAGTCGGCTAACATTTTTCCCATTTTCACATAAAGAACGAGCTAAAAGCTGGCTATATTCGTTGAGACCACAGTCAATTAGCACTTGGGATAATATGACTCAGGCATTCTTTAATAAATACTTTCCCCACCATAAAACAAGTACCCTTAAGAAGCAAACCTCATCGTTCACTCAAAAGGATAGTGAGACTTTATACTAAACTTGGGAAAGATATAAATAATTGCAAGCCCTTTGCCCTCACCATGGTTACTAGAGTTCGCACACTATGTGTTACTTTTATGAGGGATTAACAACTAGGGAGTGTCAATTTGTAGAGATGATGTGTAACAGTGATTTCCTACGAAAACATCTGGATGAGGCTATATAATATCTAGATGACCTAGCGGAAAAAGCTCATACTTGGACTCGACCTAGTGCCACCGATAGTACCAATAGGTCACGACCCATAGAAAACCCCAATAGCACATGTATCTATCATTTTAGGGAGGAGGATAGCCTTAGACCAAGAGTAGAAGACCTAACTAGAGAACTAGAAATCAGACATGCTAAAGACTGGCAATATACACCGAATGTATCCTGTTTTGTATGTGGTGAAAGTGATCATCCGACATAAGAGTGGTCTACTTTTGCGGAGATGGGGGGTTTATGAGGAACATTGCAATGCCTTAAGCATGTATAACAAGCCCTACATTACATTCTCTGAATCCTACAATCGAGGGTGGCGGAATCATCTCAATTTTAGCAGGAAATTTGAAAACTAGCAACCAGCCCAAACGAATAGAGCTTACACTATACCTTCTTTTCAACCTACATCATC